GGCACATAACAACAATAACAACAACAACAATCCTTTGATAAGCAGAAAGCAAAATTAAATGTTTAACATCAAGAAGGAGAATGAAAAATCTAATGCTACTTGTTCAAGGATTACCACTAGAAAGAGGAAAAGCAGAACTTAATATTCTGTTTTTCTCTTCTTGGATGATATCCTTGATGTCTCACAACTCAGCTTGTCTTTGATCATTAGAGTTCAATGTTTCAAACCAATTTCAAAATGATTTTGATATTCAGGTGGGATAGACTCAAGAGCATATTTTGGTTCTCAGGGACTTGTTTTCATTTTCTTTGGTCTCAATTAGAACTCGCACATGAGTAATGAATGGCCTGTTCCACACTCCACCACTGGCCTAGTTTTGACTGCTGAAATTGAGCTGGTTCAACGATTCCTTCCACAGAAACAGTCTATCTGATTCCTATTCATCAAAATTTCAGTCTATGTGTAAAGTGGTCACTTTTGTTTTATAAAAGATGTATTTTCAATGAGTCAATCACTGAACATACAAAATGTGATCTATTTCTAGCCTCATATTACTACAGTGTCAAGAAGACAAAACAAAGGGAAAAGACACAGAAATAAAAGAACTAAACAAAAGTATTTAAAGGGTAGTTTGAGAAGACAAAGCAAAGTATTGTGTGCAGAGAGCTGGAACTGGAGAACAAAAAAGGAAGAACTTGCACTGCATTTTTCAAGCAAAGAGAAGTGAAAAATAAATTTCACCCTAGAGATATAATACCAAGGGAGCTCTGGTGCCCTAGTGGTAAGAAAAGGTACTGCAATCCCAAAAGCACTGTTAGAATATAATAGATGGTGAGGGAGGGGTGATGGACAATATCTTCCAATGCAATTTACTGCCTCTGAAAACCTGCTGGAGCATCAGCTATGTTTGGTTCAAATTCGTTGGCATGCAACAACATGGGACATACTGTTGAATGATCCAAGAACCATCAACAGAAGATGGAGAGAATGCAGAGTCACTGTACCAAAAAGCATTGACTGTCACTGAAAAATTTCATGAGGTACCACATGAACAAAGGCCTATTATAATGAAAGAAAAAGTTGAAGCTGCACTGAAGGCATTGCCAAGAAAATAAGGCTCCAGAATCGATGGGAGACCAACTGGCATGTTTCAACTAACAGACTCAGGTCTGGATGCACTTATCAGTCTATGCTAGGAAATGTGAAGGACAGTTGTCTAACTGAATTACTGGGAGAGATCCATATTTGTTCCCATTCCCAAGAAATGTGACCCAGCAGAATTTGAAGTGACCAAATAGTATCATTAATATCACACACAAGCAAAATACTACTGAAGATCATTAAAAAATGGCCAGAACTGTTACATAGATAGGGAACTGCCAGATTCAAGCAGGTTTAACA